ATGAAATAACTGTAACTGTAACTAGTTACTTTTACAAAGTAACTTTCCCAACCCTGATATATATATATATATATATATATATATTATATAAGAGATATGTTGATTATTCTTGATTTCTTTTTGATTATTGATGCTATTGTATCATTTGCTCCAAATACTTGTAACGTGAAAGAACGTTGAGTAATGTATAATCAATGCAAGGATGTTCAGTAAATCATCCAGTAAATTAGAGTTCAAATATATTAATATCAATTTTTTTAAATATATATATATATATATATATATATATTGGAATATAGAAAAATGATAAAAAAATATATTTCGGCGATTTAAAAATTTTTTAATATATTGAAAATATTTTTACTACATACACTATATATACCCGTACGGAAAGAAACTATTGAAATGCTAATAGTAACTATTAGGATGATAATAGTAACTATTAAACGCCAATAGTTACAAGCAGTAATTACTACTGCAATAATTATTGCAACACTAGTAATAATTATTGCAACACTAGTGTCCACTACACAATTATTAATTATTACCAATGTGAATTATTAGAATGTAATAGTGCGTACTATTGAAATATCACTAGTACAAAGATTTAACAGTATACACTGCTATCATACCAATCATTGAATAGTGTGAACTAATAGTGTGCACAAGTTTGCAATATTAAACCAACTAATAGTGCACATTCTGTATAGTGTATACAGTTGAACATTTCGTCCTACCTTATTAGTAATGAGAGTATTACTAATAATGTGCACTAAATTGCATATTTTAATCAGTGCGTCGTAACAAAAAAAATGTTTTAAAGGTAAAAGAAGAGGTTAATAACAAAAAATTATATATAAAAATAATAATCTTTTTAATTTATATTTATATATATATATAATTGCAATTATTACATATATTTTATATGTATATACATATATATATATATATATATATATATATATCTTATAATATATATCAATATGTATATATATTAATCACGTTCAATATTATTTACGAGGCGCACAATGCAATACTTATTATCTACATTATTGTATGGAATTTTTACACATTTGGCATATAACATGTCAGGAAAGACAGCGATGAGAGAATCAGTCATGCGAGTAATGTGAAAAAAACGATTCGATGAAAGTATTGGATTGTTTGATTTACAAATTTCCATATCAATAATAGGATTAAGAATCTTTCCAATAATAACGCATCGTACATAATTTGTCCGCACAATACGAACATTAAAAATGCCGGTTATTATTATAAACATACCATTCTGTAGCAATACTGTACTGTTTTGTCGTCTTTGAAGTTTTTCATAGTTCTCGACATGGCACAATACATTTCGAAAAATGAAACGTTTGTAACAATCACACTCGTTTAATATATTTTCATGTAAAAGAGCTTCTATACAAGTTTGCTCCATTAATGTTAACATTTTTTGAACCGGTTTTCCAAATATTTTAAAATAAGGTTCATATTCTAGATAATTTTTTGAATGATACATTTCACTCATTTTATAATATAAAATTTTTGCATTTTCGAAACAATCGGGTCTTGAAAATACTTTCAAACATGAATTTTCAATGCGCTTTGATCTCATATATAATTTGCATATCTGTTCCGGAACAGCTTGCGAATTTCGAAACATTTTCCTTAATACTCCGTTATAATGTTCATAAGGAAACGTAGATGTAGTCCATAGAGCCCCAAATTGTTTAACAAACTTTGGGATATGTAATAACAAATGTACATTAAACTTGTAATATTCTAAGCCATATAGATTTTCTATTTTAAACACGAACATTTTCAATGCATTTTTAGCCGTCGAAAAATCTACGCCATTGATTTTTTCTTGTAGAAATATGTGCATGCTACAGATAAAAAGAAACCAGTGTCTTACATATTGTAAAGGCATTACGTTTTGTAGACAAATAAGAGAGTAATAGAGCAAGAAGTTCTTCCATTCTGATGCCTTCCATAAATTTCTTTCATTAATAGATCTGGGCGTACGAGTAATTTCACACGGTGGTTTTATTTGCAACAGCTTCTCGTCAATAAGATCTACTTTGTTTCCTATATACCAGTTTTTTTCGTGATTTGACGAGTTAAACCAAGCATCCGTAAAAGTTTTTGTAACTCCCAATAAAACAGAATGCATATAATCAGGTGTAAACAAAGATGTAATATCAAAGACCGGTAGTAGCATTAAAACTGTTGGTCCTTTCACACCGTGAGGTGTAGTTTCAGTTTGCACAGCAATTTCACAATCTACTTCATGTTGATGCAATGTGCGCGGTTCCTTTACGTAACCAGGATATACTCTTGTCATTCCTTTACCGACTTCAATGTGAATACCTTCATGCAGGCAAAAGCTGCAACCAAAACTTCCATTATATTGTTTTATATTTTGTAATAAAGGTCGCGCGACAGAATCTACAGGAGACGCGATTGTGTGTACTCTAATATGAATTTCTTCTTCGCCTGGCACGTTACGTGTAATGCCTACTTCATGCAATGAGATCAATTCCTCGACGAGTAAAGATAAAAACAAATTCATATCAGGTTTTTCTTTACCATACCACAAACCACACAACATCATATTTTTTCTCCTTTCTCTATACGGCAATTCATTTATCATCACCTGTATAGGCCACATAGATACAGACGATGAATGAAACACTTGAACTCCGTCAGAACTGATCTGCAGCGTGATATCATGTAATTGAATTATCCCAGAATCTTTTAAAGATGTATACTTGTCCAGAAGTTATATCAGAATAATTATCGTTTTCTTTTTGAAGCAAAGCATATTTGTCGCTGTTTACAAAGTCGCGCAACTGCTGTTTTAAAGGTAAATATAGGAAATAGTTACCACTTTTTCTCAACGTATGTTTATCATATCTACATTGGCACTCTTGGCAAACAAGGTTTTCTTTTGCTCTATCATCTGCACTAGTTTTCAATCTTACATAACACTCTGGACAATAATAGCATTTACGAATTGATGCTGGAATATCATATTTCTTCATAAATATATACTTCGTGTGGTATACTGAGTATGGTAGGTGACAGTTTATCAAAGTGATGAGGTCCTCAAGAGCAACATCAGTTAGATTGTGTCGTATCGCAAAGTTTAATATGAGGAGTTCACTTTCTATCTTGGATATATTCGATTGTTCATATAATGGGACTCGTTCCTGTAAATTGAATATGGATTCGATTATTATTTTTTTATATTTGAAGTTATTCTTAAATGTAAGTAATTAAGATCTATAGCGCACACATAATTTTTTAGAGAGTCTGAATATATCTATCCTTGACATCTTTTGATGCAATTTGTGACAGATTTTTCACTGCAAAGCTTTATTTACATCAGAAAAATTTATCTCAATTAAAATAACTCATCTCAATTTACTCGAATCCTGTACCTGATCATTGTTCTCTGGTGGCACAAATGCTACATTCTCTGCAGACTCATCTAAGAATTCATCATAGTCTTGAACTATATCTTCTTCCAAATCCGATGCGTCATCATTGGCGATCACAACATCAGATTCGCTCGAACATGCTGAGATCTCATCCGAAAGATTGAAATTTGATTCAATGATTACACTCACTGTATCATTCTTATTTTCTGGATTGCCAGATATTGGACCATTTATATTTGAATCACTATCTTCCGAAATGTCTTCAGCAGCAATGGTATGTGTGTTGTCATTAGAACTCACAAATGGTTGTCTCGATATCATAGAATCATCAACATTAATTTCTTGTTCCTAAATAAATAAAGAAATATACACTCTATTGCAAATAAATAAGAATTAAAGGATTTTTTAATATATTATAAATAATACATATATTTATAATTTCTCTTTCCTTAAAATCCTTTACATTTTATAATATACTGACCTGTTGTAATGGCATCTGTTCTCGTCGTCTACGAGAACGAATTGTTGATTCGGGCACTGGTACATCGTCATCTTGTAAATATCGTTTATAACATCCTCTTCTAATCAATATATTATTCTCATCCATTTTTACGTACAATTACACACGAATATATACATATGGAGATGAGTTCAAAAATGATGTACAAAAGCTATTATTTATATGAAACAAAATCATTCTTAAGCCTAGTATAAATATTATTTATAATATATTAAAAATTATACCTCTTAAACGTCTTTTTATATGAATCTTTTTCTGCGGAACACACTGGAACTACACTTTATACTATATCATTTATCTTTGATACTATAGAATTTTACACCAATTAATTATTAGTCGCGTAATAAAATATTTCTGCTGATGATTCAAATTGATGCACTAACCAAAAACGAGCATGTGTCATTCTCGCGCATATATATGCGCGGCCATATAATGACTGCCGTTTTTTATTTATTTATTTATGTATATATACATACACATATATTCTTTTTTAAGGCATTGCGCACAATAGAGAAAATATATATTAGAAATAAATATTAAATATTAGGAATAAAAATTATTTTAAAATAATAAATCGAAAAGACTGTGCGTGTGATATATAAAATACAAATTCGCGAATATAATTAAAAGACTAATAAAAGGAGTCTTTAATAAATTAGTAATAAATAGAGCCCTTTTATATTCGAATTTGATGAAATTATATATCAGAGTTTTTCAATTTTATTATTTTAAAATAATTCTTAATTTCTTCCTAATATTTAATATTTATTCTTAACATTTTCTCTATTGTACATATATATACATACTTCATTGAAGCTACGTTCGCCGCGCATGCACGAAAAAAATCCGGTGCGCGCGACAAAAAGTGATGCAGTGGCATTTGTTTTCGGCTTACATCGATTTTGCTTTAGGTAAGTAAGAAATCTTCGATGTAATTTATACGACATAAATGTGTAGAACAGGTTATTTTTTGAATGTATAATCACCAAGAGTATATCTTTTCAGTTTCTTTCCTCACATATACATATATTTGAGTTATGAATTATCATAATTTAATAAATGCAATCGTTGTATTAAAGTCAATTAACCTATACATATTACATTTGACAAAATAATTATTTCAATATTTCATAATTAATTTATTTTATCATTATATGATTAATTATTTCGTGTATAGATAATGGACGACCAAAGATATATGGTGTGCGAGTTTCCAAATGAAGAAGATAGCATATCTATTGGATATTTAGAATGGCTGGAAAATAAATTCACAAACATTGAATTAGATGATGTAATTAAACGCGGGACGATAGTGAAAGTTCGATGGCCAAAAGACTGTGATGTGGGCCCTGTAGCAACAACAATGAAAAAAAAATTGGCCAATTGTCAATGGGAGGTGGTTGCAACAAAATTACGGGCATATGGAGGTAAGCGCGCATCAATAATATTGAATAAAAATAGTTTTATAAAATTTTAGATAAGAGCTTAGGAAGAGAGATATGAGATAACACTTTATTGAAATTTTAGGATGGATTAAAATGTGTGAGATCAGAGACAATTTAGAAAAGTATGGTATCACTGAACTTGACAGAAGTAATAGAAAACAGTTCACGAGTAAAAATAACCATACAGAATGTGATAGTAATGATGAATCAGGAGTAAAAGAAACAAAAAAGGATGCGAAACAAAAGGTATAACATACATAATTATATAGATATAAATCATGATTTTAAAAATCGCATGCTATAAAAATAAATTTATACTATTGAATAAGAGAGTATAACGATTTTTTATTTATAGAAATGTATTCTAAATGTAAAAAAAGGAAAAGAACTTTTAAAACAATACAAACACAAAAAGCAGAAATATTCGTCACAGGTATTTTTTTAATTTGTGTGCGTGCGTGCGTGTGTGTGTGTGTGTGTGTGTGTGTGTGTGTGTGTGTGTGTGTGTGTGTGTGTGTGTGTGTGTGTGTGAATGTATATAATGTGTTCTTTAGACTTTTCCTTTTGAAACGTGACAAAATAGGTTGATATATAATTTATACCATATTATAGAATAAATCGATAGATATCAGCGACGACGAATCTGGTGAAGAAAACGAAAAATCTCTCATTCATAAACAATCAAAGTCACAATTAAAAGATACAGTCATTGTATTAAATGAGGAAAACAAAAGATTACGAAGAGACAATGAAAGACTGCGCAAATTACGATCTGTCAACGAAGGTATTCTTGTTGAATATTTTCCTCTTAATAATCCTCAGAAATCAAATTAAATATTCCGTTATGAAATAAAGTCAAATGATTAAAGAAAATTAATTAGAATTATATTATATTATTATTATTAATAATTATATTATTATTATTCAGAGTATTTCAATTTGTTTACTACTCAGTATAGCTCAAATTGCATTACTACAGATAAACTTTAATTTTTATCTCGATAGTTTTTTTTAAATAATTGTCGAATTATTGCATTTATCAGCAATTCACCAAATAAATAGACAGATTTCTAAACAACGAGTGCAAACGTTAATCATTTCTTTACAAATACATTTCTTTATATGCTACTTTTTCGAGCGTTTTTCAATTTTGTTAGTACAATTCTTAATACAATCACACCGTTATGTATTTTTTTAGATTTGCCAAAGATAGATAAATTTATGAAAGATGTTACGGCCGACTTGCAATGTGCTTCATGGAAAACCGAATTTCTCAATAATCAGATTGATAAACTGCAACAGGTATATATTATGTAATTTTGACTTTTATTTGCATTAAATCGTATATTTGTAAATATATTGTAATATGAAACGATATATGCTAATTGTGCTTATTTGTTTTGTAGAAAGTACAAGCAATAAGTAACTGCATTATTGAACGTGAGCAAGATTATACTCCGCCTCCAGCAATGACACTAGAGTCTGATCCGATCTGGATCAGCAATAAGTTGGATCTACCAAACAATAAGTTAAAATCATTTCGAAATCAAATCGATGTATCGCCTGCAACATTGATAGTGCAAAATAACGAGTTAGAGCCAATTGTAAGTAGCGATAAGTTAATACGAGTAAAATCGTCTCAAAGATCGGATACAGATGAGTTTCGTGAATCAACATCCTCACGTGAGTCGAAACCTTCGACATCCGGACATATTCTACCGCAAAATTATAACCGAGAATCATCACCGGAAGATTTCTTTGATACTCATCCAGACGTTAGAAATAAAAATATAAAAGTAGTCAACACACATGAATTGGAAAACGTACACGAATCGAATGCAGTAGATAAAATAAAGCCTGCGGATAAGCATCAATCAATCGCAGTACGCAAGCCTAAAAATTATTTCAATTATTTTATAATGCGCTATTTAATATAGAAGTTAATATTTTTAGAATTTCGATTGAAATTTTGATTTTTAAGTGTATAGTATAAATATATTAATTGGTTGGTTTTCAATTTTTATCTGATGCAATTTTGCGATGAATATGAATATCATTACATTTTATAATTATTTAAAAGTTATTTTATCATATTTTTTGTACAAAATCACAGGAAAAAACAGTCGACCTGGGAGGACCAGAACTTTGTGTGGTGAATGCTACTCGTCTTTCTTTGTGCAATCACACATCTGCCTCTAAATTGATATGCGAGATGATGTCATTGTTATTTTCAAAAAAAGAGTTGGCTACTTCCTCGCTTACAGGAACTGTGGCAAATTTTCATTGCGAAAAAGGTGTAGCCGCTAAAAAGAAACTCGATACGGTGAAAATTGAAGCTATGAAAAGTATGTGATCATAATTTGTGCGATGAAGTATTGATTTCGCATAGGTAACAATTTGAAAACCGATAAATACATGTATATATGTGCTTTCAGCATACGTTAAGAACAAATTTTCATCAGAAAAAGATTTTGATAAAATATTCCGGAAAGCAGTGCAACAGAAGTGCAATAATGCAGTTCCTCGAAATAGAGGGCCAAATAATAAAGGAGATGAAATTAAGAAGTAAGCCAGCTATGTCAAAGCGAAGAAAAAACAAAGAATGATTAATCTAAAATTATTATATTATTATTATTAGAACTATTATTTTTATTTTTAAAATTACTATTATTATATTATTATTATTAATTCGTATTAATTATTTATTAAAATTATTATTATTCTCTTTATCTATAAAATTATTCTACTAAAATATATTATTTTTCAATATTTATAATTATTAACATGATATTATTATTTGAATTTAATTATGCGAATAAAAATACAACTAGTAATTAATGTAAAATAAATAATCAGTGTTGCTTTATTTCTATATAGCAATATATTATATATAATAATGTATATATATAATGTATATATATATAATGTATATATATAATGTATATATATACCAGTACATCACATCGTCCCAGATAAGTTTGGAAACACCTAAAGTTTTAGAGTATTTAGAGACAGATAAAGCATAATCGCATGGCAGTGATATCGGCGCAGATTTTTGGTATATGGACATATCGTGTAAGACGTTTAAATGACGATATATTTCCATTTAGAACGTCTTACAATATATTCATATCAAAAATCTGCGCAGATCGCTGCCATGCGACTGTTATTTATATCTGTAAAACGTGAGATGTTTCCAAACTTATTATATGGAGGGTATATCGTATATGTATATATATATCGCGGGGAGATTATATATATACATATATACATACATACATATATATACAAATATATATATATATATAATCTCCCCGAATACATACCTTACCAAGTACGTAATAGTGCGGATGTAAAACTACTACTGCGGATGTAAAACTACTAGTGCAGATGTAATACTAGTAGTGCGGATATAACACTACTAGTGCGGATGTAACACTACTAGTGTGGATGTAACACTACTAGTGCAAATTTCAATAGTGCGCGAAATTACTATTGATCTAGTGTGCACTAATAGTTCTATAGTTTTCAATTCAATAGTTTCTTTCCGTACGGGTAAGCGTAAATAATTCAAAAATAAATTTAAAAATAAACTTAATAAAGATCTACAACCAGCTGTGTGCATGTGTGCAATTGACGTAAATTTATTTACGGAATTATTTTGCAATTATATATTTATAGTGTTGTGTAAATGTAAAAATATTAATATCAAAAATATCGCCTATATGAAAAATATATTTCAGATAAATATAAGTTAATTAAGTCAATTTATATTATTCTTCTAAGTATTTCATTATCGTAAGTTTAATAAGTATTTATAGCAGAGAGAAAGATATTTAAATAATCAACATCAAAATCATAAAATCAGATGTGTGCATGTGTGCATATATATATATTACTATATATTTATTTACGGATATATATAAACTTATATATTATATATATATAGTGTGTGTAGTTGTAAAATACATTAAATATTTTCATATCAAATTTTAAGTTTATCGCCTATATGAAAAATATATTCTATGATTTTCTATATCCATATATTATAAAAAATTGATATAGATATATTTGAACTCAAGTTTTTTACGTGATTAAATATTCTTGCATTGAGCCATCATACGTGTACTCGTAAGTTTTTTCACGTCATAGTATTTATGTAGTCAGAGAGAAGAAATGAGAGTTTATATAATGTAACATCAATAATCGGAAAAAATCAAGATACGTCATATCTGTGTATATATATATTATATATATATATATATACATATATATATAAACTTATATATTATATATTATAATATTCATTTATTTATAAAATACATTTTATAAATAAGTGAAATATTATACAGACAATGTACAAATGTTTCGTTTGTGCCATAACAAGCTTCAATCAATAATTATTACTCCAATGAGTATAATTCACAATAATTTTATATAATATAATAAGTATTTGAATATATAAAAATATTTTTAAAATTTGTTTTAAAATTAATTGAAAAGAATATTTAAATATTTTGTTTATAGACTAGTATGTTATTGCTTCGACCTTGCGATGCTGAAAAAAATTATTACAATAAATTTTTTTTATGAATATAATAAATTATTTATTATATATTTTTATTTAATTATTTATATAATAATTATATTTTAATATACAGAGTGTCCGGTAACTACACGACCAATGATTAAGGGCGGATTTTCTGGCCAATTTGGAGACGATTTTTTCTTAGCAAAAAGTTGAGAAGTCAATAATTTTCGAGTTATAAGCGATTGAAAAAAATGGGTTTTTTAAAACTAAACGTTTTTGGAGTTAAAAGTCTAACATAATTACATTCTTCAGTTAATTTCAGGTAGAGTTTAGTATCATAAAATTTTAATTTGAGACTTATTTAAAATACATAATGACAATATTGAAGTTGTAAAAATGATGACCTTTTTCGACATTTTCGCTGGGAAAATTTTTCCCAAATTGACCAAGAATCCATTGTAATTGTTGATCCGTTAGTTATTGGACCTCTGTATATTAAGCACACGATAAGAAATATTTTACATTTGCTCATCATATATAAAATATAAAGTAATGAAATTAAATTTTACATTAATTTATAATAGTATTATGAGGTAGTTTAATACATGAAAATCATATAAGATGAATGCTGTACATCGATTAGCATAATATGATTACAAGTCAATAAATGGTTTTGCTATATATTATTTTGAATAAAAATTAAAAAAATAAAAACAAAAAAAAATGAAATTAATAATTTTCTTCATTCTTTGTTTTCTTCTCTCTATTAATTATTTTTCTATTATTTGAATAAAAGATGTATCGGTGTAATAGATTAAATAGATAGATAATTATATAAATATATAATTACGTTTTGAAATTTATATATATATATATATATATATATATATATATATAATATATATTGAAAGCAATCGCCACCGATCGGCTGATTGCGCACGCGCCGATACGACCTGTCCCGTTCCCCGATAACGACTGCCTCGGCGATAAGCGTATAGGGCGCAAACTAAAGCGGCGCGCGCGGAAGTCAAAAGGGTATTTAAGCTAGCGAGCGGAAAGGCCCGGACTCTCCTTCGAGCAGTATACACGAAAAAGATAGTTGATTTTTATACGGGAGTCTTTCGTAATAAATAACAGTCTTTGTCTTCAAGTGAATATTTTGTTTGAGTGACTTTCAAACACCTTTCTCGAACCTTCGTACTTTCCGCGCTTTCTAAGAACAGTTGAAACTTTTAACGGTCATCCGTAATTAAATTCTTCGTTTTAATAATCTCGATTTCTTACAATATACATATATATATAATTTCAATATATACATATATATATATATAAATTATTATTTATCTATTACATACGATACGCCTTTTATTCAAATAATAGAAAAATAATAGAAAAAAACAAAAAATGAATAAAATATTTATTTCATTTTTATTTGTTTTTATAAAATTTTTATCAAAATAATATCTTAGCAAATCATTATTGCGGCTTGTAATCATAATATTACTAATATTACTAATCGATGTACAGCATTCATCTTATAAGATTTCCCAGTGTTACCCCACAATACTATTATAAATAAATGTGAAATTTTAATTTGCATTACTTTTATATTTTCATATATAATGAGCAATGTAAAATATTTCTCATTTGTGTGTGTAATATATTGATTTTTGTATTTATACTGATTTTACACATATCAAATGCAAGAGAGACAAAGATAGAATGATACTTTCTTCTTGTTAAGCTGTCAGTATGTTACCACGAAAATTTCCCCATGTGTATAGATCTAGTGAAATTGTTCATCCCAAATATTACATAAAAAGAAATTACGTAGCTTCGTGAAATATTTTTTAAATATATTCTTTATATAATAAAGCAAGGAGACAAAGAGTCGAATTTTTTCATTATTGCTCTTAAAAATTTATAATAAATTAAATACGATCTCGTGGCTAACCCAACCTTACCCGCTGCTAGCTGCGCATCTCCCCAAGTTATATTATGAATTTTATATTCATCTTTTTTCCAAAAAATCAGTCTTTGTCTCTCTGCGGACAATCCTACTGATTAAGAATATCGTAAATTTAATAAGATTCATTAAGTATTTTGGCTAATATATGGGATGAACGAATCCGTAATTTCCGGCCGGCTGATAGGCGTCTCCACATGTCACCTATCGACCCTTAATTATTCTCAAAATAGTGAATTATATAGGTTCTCGCAAGAAATAATGTTAGC